CTCTCTCTCTCTCTCTCTCTCTCTCTCTCTCTCTCTCTCTCTCTCTCTCAACCTATAACCCTCCCCGTGTAAACCCACCCTTTCCCCAGGCCAAGGGCTGATTACTGGGGAGTTTGTGATTTCTCTGGCCCCAGGGTCTATTACTTGAGTACCCCATTCATGTAAAAAGAGAAGGAAAGCGCCACGATTATAAAACCTCTCCATACCTCAAGTTCTCAAGTCAGAACAAGGTCAAATAGCACTCAGACAGAGGTGTGAAAATAAACCATGAGGAAACTCAGCCTTGACCAGGTGTAATGGTGCACACCTTTATTATCAGCACTCAGGAGGAGACTGATCTCTGAGTTCAATGTCAGCCACAGTGATAGATGAGACCCTGTCTCAAAAAACAAAGCAAATAAATAATTTTTTGTAAAAAAAAAAAAATCAGTAAACCAAGTAAGGTGGCACACACCTTTAATCCCAGCACCTGGCAGGCAGATCTCTAAATTTGAGGCCAGCCTGGTCTTCAGAGCAAGTTCTAGGACAGCCAGGGCTACACAGAGAAACCCTGTCTTGGAAACAACAACGAAAAGGTAAAAGGTAGAGGAAAGAAAGAAATCCTTCCACAGAGAAGAGAGCTGGAGAGAAGATAAGGAAATCTTAGCACTAAGAAGCAAAGCGCAAGGCTACCGAAGCTCCCTCTTGGGTGTGGGCGCTGCCACTCCTCACGGGGTCCTAGCGCCTTTCCCCTGGTGCCTGGTCCCTACTCTCCTCCCTCGGGACCCAGCACAAACTCTGCAGCCACGTAGTCTGGCGCCTACTCTTGCGGAGCCATTTCAGCTGAGTGACCTGGGTAGTTAGTAGCCAGTTTCTCATCCGTAAACGAGGCTAATGAGAGGATGGCTTCGGGATGTAAGTGGATTAATATCGATAAAGTCCTTAGGATGTGGGAAAAGTAGGAAGGAGCAGGAAATAGGGAGGACTCCGCTCCTGTCCAGCAGGGCTCTCTGTGTCTTCTCGTGGCCGAAAGAGACAAGGAACCTCTCTGAAGTCTCTTTTAATAGCACAGGAATCCCCTCTCCAGGGCTCCACCCTCATGACCTAATAACCTCCCAAAGGCTCCACCTCCAAATACTATCTATCACCTTGGAATTCGGATTTCAACATGATTTGTTTCTTCTTTTTTGAGACAAGGTCTCCTTACATAGCTCAAGCTGGTTTGAACTCACAATATAGCTCACATTGGCCAAACATTTGTGACCTTCCTGCCTTAGCATCCGAAATGCTGAGGTTACCACCCGGTGCCCAGCTTCAATATATGAATTTTGAGGGGACAGAAGCAAAGAAAATCCATAGCAGCCTTTCTCCATGAAGCCTCTGATAACTTTAGCCCAACCCTCTTTAAACAAGGTGGCTGGCTTCCCAGAGGCCAGTGTCAGGGTAAATAGCTGCCTGGCTTCTGCATACACTTTGTTTACTTTTATCCCGTGGACAAAGCATGTCACTGCGGCCATGTCCAAAACTGGGGTGGGATGGAACTGGATCGATTCATGCAAACCAGAAGGTGATCCCTGGGAGCTGCCAATAAAGTGATCTAATGGTCTATCCTCTGGGCTGCCAATTCAATGATCTAATGGTCTATCCTCTGGCCCCTAATAACTCATTTCCTTCCCACTCACATGTACAGTCACCTGTCCTGGACTCTTCCATGTCACATGTCCATCCATCATAACATTAGGATCAGGGTTGAAGTTCATGGTCTCATCACATGAAACAAGAGGCTAAACGATGAGGCTCCTCGGGTATTTCTCTCCAGGTTCGGGGATCTTCAGTGGCATCCTGAACCTGGCTCATGCTGCCTTGTGACCGCTGATGGTGAACATACCTGGGTTCAGTTATAGCACACTAGAAGCTTAAAACTGGAGCTCATGGAAGAATGTATACTAGAGAAATTGTCAATCACAGCAAATCAGGGCTTTTAAGGGTCCCCTCCTGGAGAAGAGCTATTCAATGTTTACTGACACACTGCTGCCCATGTCCCAAAAATAAGTTACATCTTCCACCTAACACTCTTCCCTTTCTGCCAGGTCTTGTTGGCCTCAGTCTCATGATCCTCTTGCCGAAATACTGGGACAGGTGTGTACCACCAAGCATGGCATTGCTTTGATCCCTTAAATACTGGGACAGGTGTGTACCACCAAGCCTAGCATTGCTTTGATCCCTTAAATGCTGGGACAGGTGTGTGCCACCATTCCTGGCACTGATCCATGAAAGTTCTGATTTTCTGTCCAGCACATAGCTCAGTCTATGCAGATAATTCCCCTGGGCCTGATTCTGCTCTGGGGGGAACTCTGGGCTCCTAGGTCTATAGTCCTAGCCCTTGGCTCTTTACTGTCAAAAAGTGTCCTTACTTTTGAACAAGAAATGACCTGTGTTTGCAAGTGAGTGCAGATTCTGTTTGTCTGTGTTGTTTGTTTGTTTGTTTAGAGACAGGGTCTCACTCTGTAGTCCTTGGCTGAGCTTAGAACTCACGATGTAGACCAGGTTGGCCTCTAACACATAGGGATCCATCTGCCTCTGCCTCCCAATACACCCAGCCCTTTTTTTTTAAACTTTATTTAACTTTATTTCATGCATATTGGTATAATGATGTCAGATTCTCTTGAACTGGATTTACAGACAGCTGTGAGCTATGTGGGTGCTGGGAATTGAACCCAGGTCCTCTGGAGGAGCAGTCAGTGCTCTTAACCACTGAGCCATCTCACCAGCCCCCCCCCTTTTCTTTTTGTTTAGTATTTTTGCAATGCTGAGGACAATCACTCTACCCTGAGCTCCCTCTTTTCGTTTGAACTATCTCCATCCCTTTTAGTCCAAACTGCTGCTCCTTTGAGTATTAGAATTTTCTTTAAGACCATGGGCTCAGCAACTTTCTCTTGAGAAACCTGAGCCTACTCTGGAGTGTATCATACTCTCTGCTCTTTTTTTTTTTCCTTTTTTGCTTTTCAGATTTATTTACTTTTTATGTATACAATGTTCTGTCTGATTGTGTGCTTGCACGCCAGAAGAGGGCACCAGATCTCATTATAGATGATTGTGAGTCACCATGTGGGTGCTGGGAATTGAACTCAGGACCTCTGGAAGAGCAGTCAGGGCTCTTAAGCTCTGAGCCATTTCTCCAGCCCATTACTGTCTCCTCTTAAGCCCCTCTCTTTCTTTCCCTTGGAGTCTGAGTCAGGTGTACCAGGTTTTTATCCAGGTGATTACAAATAAAGGCTCACGCAGACTTGCAAAAGAAGCAAGATAATTTTATTTGGAGCAAAGTGATAGTACAGATTAGCTGGGGAGAGGGATCACTGGGTCACATGAATACAATCCTCGAGGGCCCCAAATATTCCTTTCATGGGTTCAAGAAAAGGAGGAGTAGTCTATGTGGTTCATGATTTTGATTAATAGATTAAGCCACACATTCATTTTCCTATTGTCCATGTCCCTTCCCACAATGCATCAGACTTCAGTCATATGCACACCCAATTATGCATAGGCATAAGATGGAAAATAGGGGAGTCTCTCTGAAAGGTCACTAAAAGAGAGGTTTGCCGTACGTACATACACCCAAAGACAGTTCAGTCCAGACCAACCCTTCTGTTCTTCATACCTGAATATGTTGAGAATATATTTGAATACAAACTGTCTGAATGTGGTTGTTACCAGGGGCAGAGGCACTCATACTCCTGAATGGGAGAACATGTAGTCCAATGCATGGGGCTGGGGGTCCTAAAAGTGCTGGGTGCATGGTTTGCAGAGGGCTGTTTGTGTCTAGTTTGCACAAATGAAGGAACTACGCTGCCAAGTGCATTTGTTGTTGTTGTTGTTGTTGTTGTTGAAGACAGGGTTTCTCTGTGTATCTTTGGAGTTTGCCCTGGAACTAGCTCTTGTAGACCAGGTTGGCCTTGAACTCACAGAGATCCACTTGTCTCTGCCTCCCAAGTGCTGGGATTAAAGGCGTGCGCCCCCACCACCTAGCTCTGCCAAGTGCTTTGTTATAAGGGGGTATGTGTGTGTAACTAAAACTAAATGGAGGTCTCAGGGTACCAAACTTTCCTGTGCTTACCTGCTTCAAATGCCCATGATTAAATCTGTTTTAAAAATCTTTCTTAAACTAAATGAAAAACAGAAACTTCACAAGTCTCTAAATAACATAGTGTGGTCTATTCAATGATCTGTACCTATCTTGTGCGGTCAGGTCAAACCCTAAGCCAGCAAGTGTTTAACACCTGTAATCCCAGCACTTGGGAGACTGAGGTCACTCTGAGTTTGAGGCTGCATAGAGAAACTCCATCTCAGAAAACCCAATACCTAAGAAAATAGAGAAATTTTAACCCTAGCAAGGCGTTGTTTTCCATTCACCTTTTATTTATCCTAATCTTACTCTGACTGTGTTCCACTGCCGGGGCCCTGGGTTTTCATTGTTTTAATTTTTTCTATTTATTTATTTTACGTGTATAAGTATTTTGCCTGCACATTACAGATGTGTGTGCCACACACCCGTGTGTGTCTGGTTCCACTGGAGTCAGAAGAGAGCTTCAGAACCCCTGGAGCTGGAGTTACAGATGACTGTGAGCCGCCATGTGGGTGCTGAGAATCAAACCTGAGTGCTCTCAGTGCTGGGGTTAAGGGCGAGTGCCACCATAGCCTGGTTCCAGCCTTGGGTTTTTATTATCATTCTTATTTATTTATTTCTGAGGCAGGAACTCACTCTGTAGTCCTGGCTGACCTGAACTCTATATACCAGGCTGGCCTTGAATTTAGAGTTCCAGCCATCCAAATCCAACAAGGATTTTTTTTTTTTAGTTTTAAAAGTTTTTGTCTTTTTAAAAAGATTTGGTTTTCAATTTATTATGTGTATGTGTGTGTGCCTGTGAGTTTATGTATACTATATAGAAGTCAGAGGGTATCACATCTCTTGGAATTGGGGTTATAGGCAGCTGTGAACCACCTGATATGTATACTGGTAACTTAACCAAGGTCTTCTGTAATAACAATAAAATCTTTTTTGTTTGTTTGTTTTGTCTTGTTTTTTGAGACAGGGTTTCTCTGTGTGTCCCTGGCTGTCCTGGAACTGGCTCTGTAGACCAGGCTGGTCTCGGACTCACAGAGATTCCCCTGCCTCTGCCTCCCGAGTGCTGGGATTAAAGGCCTGCGCCACCACCGCCGAGCAAACAATAGGATCTTAATAACCATGGAACCAACTGAAAAGGAAGAAAAAATGATTTCCTTTTTCAATCTTGCAAATTCTTTTAGAAATATTTTCTCTAAATTCTTCTAGGAAACTGAAGTTGTGTGTGTGTGTGTGTGTGTGTGTTGTTTTGTTTCTTTGAAGCAGGGCTTTACGCTATAGTCCAGCCTGCCCAGAACTCGCTAAGTAGCCCTGGTTGGTCTCCTACTCACAGCAATCCTCCTGCCTCAGTCTCCCAAATGCTACTAGAATTACAGGTGTGAGTCACCACTCCTGGCCCTCTGGCTTCCCAAACCCCCTCCAACACATGTCTCCTGAAATGCCTTATCACAGGAAGCTAAAATAGGACCATCGGCATTTTCAGCATTCCGCCAGGAAATATCTCTTGCTAAAGTCACAACTTGGAAATGGGCTCTGGCTTCCGAGTTACTACAGGTGATAGACAGCCCATAGCTTGAGCTCCCCCTTCTCCAACTTCTACAGCAGCCTCCTCCCTTCTCCTGTTTTTGCTATGTCTCTTCTCTATCCTTCCAAACTTGGCCTGCCACTGAGCCCCAAGAGTCAATGCTGCAAATTTTAGGTTTGGGTGACGGTGGTGGCACCCAACTTCTGATACACATTTCTTTTCTTGTCAGTTATTAATATTACATGCCAACATAAAACAGCCTTGCTGTGCTGTTGCTATGGTGATTTTGTTTGTTTGGTTCAGCCAATCAGTCGCTGTCATCACACATACTGGGTAACTGCTCTACCGCTTGAACTATACCTCAACCCTCACATATAAACTTTTCTCTCTTTATATTTTTTAATAACTTATTTTAAAGCATTTTATATGCATTAGTGTGCAAGCGTCAGATCCTCTGGGACTAGATGACAGATAGTTCGTTGTGAGCTGCCATGTGGGTGCTGGGAATTGAACCCAGGTCCTCTGGAAGAGCAGCCAGTATTCTTAACCGAGGAGCCATCTCTCCAATCTCTCTTTTTGTATTTTCAACACAGTTGTTTACTCGGTTTTGTCTTATCTTGATTTCTTCAGAGTCTTACTCTGTAGGTGAGGCGGGCCTAGAATTTCTAACAATCTTCCTGGTCCAGCTTCCAGACTATGAAGAATACAGGTGTGAGCCACCACAGCCACTCAGCTGAACAAATTGTCTTAAAGCAACTAGTTCATCCATGATTTTGCGTCTTGACTCAGTTTAACTGGACAACTTTTGTGACCCAGGTGGTATAATTGAGGTCAGTCAAGCCACTGTATCCAACTGAGAGCTAAATCTGACTCAAATGTTTCTTATGGGCTCTGATTCTTCAGATCTCTCTCACTCTCCAAGATCTCGCACTTAGAACACTGTGTCCAGCTGGGCGGTGGTGGCACATACCTTTAATCCCAGCACTCAGGAGGCAGAGGCAGGCAGATCTCTAAGTTCGAGGCCAGCCTGGTCTAGAATAACTTGTTCCAGGACAGGTACGAAAGCTCACAGAGAAACCCTGTCTCAAAAAACCAAAAAAAAGAAAACAAAACAAAAAACAAAAAACACTGTGTCAGCTCCTAAGTCCACAAGATCTCACTGAAACTGCTAATGTCTCACTAAGTCTTCGCAAGTCCGGAATCTGTATAGAGAGTGCTGCATGAAGCCGTGAATATTTGAAGTTACGGTCATTGGGAACCAACAGTGTAATAACCTTTGGTTGTTCTTGGGCTTTGCTTGTCTATTTGTTGGATTTCATTTTTATTGTTTTTAATTAGATAATAGTATGTGTTTGTGTGTGCGTATGCCCACGTAGTGCGAGGGCCCACATAGGCCGCAGGGGTCAGATTCCCTTGCAGTTCCAAATGGTTGTGAGCCGCCCACTGTGCTGAGCCCAGCGGGAGAATAGTAAATGCCCTTAACCACTGAGCTATTTCTCCGGCCCTTATGTTTGTCTTTGTAGCAGAGTCTCATGTAGCCCACGCCAGCCTTGAACTCCTGATACTTCTGCTTTCACCACCTTTGGTGCTAGGATTTCCTGGCTGTGCAACACCACATCTTGTTGTATTCCGTGCTAGGAGTGGAATCCAGGCTGCGTGCACGCTGGACAAGCACTCTGTCAATGAAACTTAGGGATCAATTGCCGGCACTACAAACATGACATGAAGCCAAACATGGTGGCACATATCTGTGACACCAGCAAAAATATACCTCGTAAGCCAGGCGGTCGTGGCGCATGCCTTTGGGAATGTCAGCACTTGGGAAGCAGAGGCAGGCAGATCTCTGTGAGTTCGAGGCCAACCTGGTCTACAAGAGCTAGTTCCAGGACAGGCTCCAAAGCCACAGAGAAATTTTGTCTTGAAAAATAAAAAAAAAAAAAGATACCTTGAAGGGAAGATGAGAAATAATGGGGAAGTGGGAGTTGTAATGGGGATGCAACAATATGTACAACCAGGTATGCTGGCACGAACCTGCCTCAATATCTGCCCCCTAAAAAAATATTAAGGTGATATCGGGGTTTTTTGTTTTGTTTTAGTTTTTGGTTTTTCGAGACAGGGTTTCTCTGTGTTGCTTTGGTGACGGCTGGTTTGGTGACGGCTAGATGTGGGAAGAGAGGGAGGCAATCACAGGGCTTGTAGGGGCGAGAAGGCAAGGAGTGGCCCCATCCGTGCCATTCACACACAGAAAGAGGGGGAACAGCATGGGAAATAGTGATGCTCTCACTAGATGTGCTGGCAGGACCTTCGCGTGCCACCATTAAGCAGTTATAAATTTAGGCGTGAACTTGGCGATACCCAAATCTCCAGGTCCTGTCTCCCTCTGCAAAGTGCCCTGACCTAGACATACAGGTGTGAGAATCCCTAAGGTAAAGACTGCGCTGACTTCGAGTTCACTGGGTGCCTTTTAGCGGAGGATAAAAGGAACTGAGGACAAGGGCACACCTTGGAGGGCATCAGAACCTCTGCACTGAAGGCACAGACAAAGGAAAAACTTTAAGTCGCTAGGTGGTGGCCTAGCACGCACAAAGCCCTGGGCTCCCCCATGCAGCAGCTCATGAAGGCTGGTGTGGTGACGCATGCCCATAATCCCGGCACCCAGGCAGCAGACTGCAGTCAGACATCCTCTGGTGCCTTTTATACTTGGTGGAAATTTGGGCTGTTCTTTAACCTGCTTCCCCAAATTCTTCTCTCTTCTATCCATTTCCAAAGCCACTCAGAGTTTTAGGTATTTGCTAATGCAACATCTCGTTCTCAGAGCCGTTCAGAACACTTACTGCTTTCCCAGAGGTCTGAGGTCAGTTCCCAGCACTCACAGCTGGGGACCTAAGCACCTGTAACTCCAGATCCGGATGTAACTCAAACATCCTCTCCTGGGCTCTATAGTTACACATACACATACACAAACACACACTCTTTACAAAAACAACAAAGAGACAGAGGACTGGAGAGATGGGGCAATGGTTAAGAGCACTGGCTGCTCTTCCATAGGACCTGGGTTCAATTCCCAGCAACCACACAGCAGCTCACAACTGTCTGTCACTCCAGTTCCAGGGGATCAGACACTGTCAAACAGACATGAATGCATGTAAAACATCAATGTACATTAAAAACAAAAACAAAAATAAAAAACAAGTGTGGTGTCATATACCTGTGATTCTAGAATTTGGAAGATAGCATCAGGGGATTAGATAGTCAAGGATATCTTGACTACATAGAAAGTTAGCTCCAGTCTCCAAAAATATATAAATAAACACAGGGGGCGTGCTGGAGAGATGACTCGGAGACTGAGAGTACCGGCTGCTCTTCCAGAGGACTGGATTTGGTTCTCAGTGCACACATGGTGGTTCACAGTCATCTGTAACTCCCTTTGATCTCTACATGTATGTTGTCATATGTGTGCTTCCACTCCTACGTGCACATACACAAGAACACACAATAACAAATTAAAACTTAGAACAAAATAAAACAAAAACTGCGCTTACTGATGCTACAAGCCCACAATCCCAGCACTCTGAACCTGGAGGCAGGGAGGATCACCAGTTCAAGGCGGTCCTTGTCTGCAGCATTGAGTTTAAGGCTACTTTGGACTCCATGAGTCACAGTCTCAAACAAAGGGAGAAAAGTTTGCAGAGAACAGACACTTAGTCTGCAGTGGCTTGACGGGGTTTCTTATGTTCACAGGCCTCACCAGCATCAACCAGACTCGCCTCGATTTCCACTTCTCTGCTAGAACTGCCGGCAGCATGGAGGTCCGGCAGGCCCGCCTCATGTTCTTCGTGCAACTCCCTTCCAATACCACCCAGACCATGAATATACGAGTCCTTGTGCTAAGACCGTATGCTACCAACCTCACCTTGACAAGTCAGTACCCGCTGCAGGTGGATGCTAGTGGCTGGCACCAGCTTCTCCTGGGTCCCGAAGCTCAGCTTGCTTGCAGTCAGGGGCACCTTACCCTGGAACTGGTAACCGAAAGCCAGGTGGCCCACAGTTCAGTAATCCTGGATGGGTTTTCTCACAGACCTTTTGTGGCAGCCCGGGTAAGAGCTGGGGGCAAGCATCGGGTTCGCCGACGAGGCATCAACTGCCAGGGGGGGTCCAAGATGTGCTGTCGGCAAGAGTTCTTTGTGGACTTCCGTGAGATCGGCTGGCATGACTGGATCATCCAGCCTGAAGGCTATGCCATGAACTTCTGCACTGGGCAGTGCCCACTACATGTGGCAGGCATGCCTGGCTTCTCCGCATCCTTTCACACAGCAGTTCTCAATCTACTCAAAGTCAACACAGCTGCCGGCACCACTGGAGGAGGCTCATGCTGTGTGCCCACAGTTCGGCGCCCTCTGTCTTTGCTCTACTATGACAGGGACAGTAACATTGTCAAGACGGACATACCTGACATGGTGGTAGAGGCCTGTGGGTGCAGTTAGCTTATGCATGATACAGCCCAAGGTAGAGCAGGCAAACATGTCCTTACAAAGATGGCCTTCCTCAGAAGGAGGGAGTAACTACGTTCCTGCCTCCGTCCACAATGTAACCACCTTCTTTCTAAGTTTGCAGACTACCCTCTGTTGACTCCAGTAGATCTACATCTAAAGGAGTCACCACCCATGACCACTAGTCTCTCTGTCTCTCCTGGGACATGGTTGACCCAGACCACACCCCCATCCTAAACCCTACTCCAGGGCTAATCTACTGCCAACCACAAGCAACCTGGTTTTGTGTTCCCAGCAAAGACACCCCTTGTTCACCCTTAGACAATGATGTAATCTACTCTACCTCCTGTCCCGCCAACTGATGGCTCCACTCCATGATGACCCGCCCAAGCATCTTTCCTCGAACTCTATGGTGCTCCAAAGAACCCTTCCCCTGGGTTCCCAGATTGCTGTTTTCCAAAACAAGACCCTTGCCCAAGTGTGCTATTAATACTGTTTGCATAGCCTCCAGCGTTCTGTCTTCCTAAGCCTGTGGGGGCTGTCGCACCTGAGCCACTGAACCACCGAGCTCTCCTATCCTTTGACTTCCAGATGAATTTGACCAAAGGGAGATTCAGGTTGGAAACTAAAGACTAGGGGGTTACAGAAGTCACAGAAAACTCCATCAGGCCTAAGGTCTCGCACCTCTCATCCAAGCACTTAAGAGAGTGCTACCTAAAGGTTGAGGCCAGCTCGTTCTCGGCTAGCCTGGGCTACACTGTTAAGACCTTGTCACAAAGTAAAAGAAGGGAAAAAAGAAGAGAATATTTTCTGTTCCCACCCCCCCACACACTTATTTATAAGCCATAGCTCTGTGTAGCTGTGGTGTGCTATGTCTACGTGGCTCCAGGTTTTGCATGTAGCCATGGCTGTGCTATGATCACGTGCCTCCAGGTTTTGCATGTAGCCGTGGCTGTGCTATGATCACGTGCCTCCAGGTTTTGCATGTAGCCGTCGCTGTGCTATGATCACGTGCCTCCAGGTTTTGCATGTAGCCGTGGCTGTGCTATGATCACGTGGCTCCAGGTTTTACATGTAGCTACGGCTGTACTATGTCCATGTGGCTCCAGGTTTTGCATGTAGCCATGGCTGTGCTATGATCACGTGGCTCTAGGTTTTGCATGTAGCCGTGGTTGTGCTATGTCCACGTGGCTCCAGATTTTGCGCCTCTGATATCATTATTCCAACACTAAAGAATCCGGATGGCTTGCCCTTTTTCTAGTGTCTTAAACACTCTTTTTTTTTTCAATTTACCATGTAGAACAGGGTTTGCCTAGAATACACACCTGCCTTCACCACCATGCCCAGCTTTGAGCTAACTATGGCCCTGTAACCCCTTTCACTGAGTCCTCTTAAGATAGTTCAAAATAACATGTGATACACTTGGGGGGAACTGAAAGAATCTGTCCCGCATCGGGAATAAAATTTATGATGGAAACTGAAAAAAAAAAAAAAAAAAAGATAGTTCAAAATATCCTCTGTCTCCTGCCGGGACCTTCCTCTCTCTCCACCTGGTCCCCTCCAGCTCAGCTGTTCCGTCCATCTCATACTTCATATCTCGTGTTCCTCCAGGCTGCCGCTTCTTCTTTAATCTTCCTCCATCCTCCTTCCAAAACTTTCAGGGGGTTCATGGCTAATAATGAACTACTACTGCCTGAATCTCATCTCCCTCTGTTCTGACTCCAAGAGATGAGACAGATCAATAATTGATTATCAAGCAGGCCAACCCAGGCCACACAGGGTGGGAGGCAGAGGCACTCAGAGCTACCTGTTAGAACTCTGGCTCACCTTCCTTTTGCCCACTCTTAGAACTTCAGTCATGAGTCCTCTCTGGAAGCTTTACTGAGTCAAGAAGAGGAAGGCCTGGGATAAAGAGGGGGCAGCATTTACTCTGAGAACTGGTTCTTTTTAGACCTTTGCCCTTCTTTCCTCACCGTCTCCTCCCTTTGGCTGGACAGCCCTGATCCATTGGGTCGATATTGTCTGCAGCCCAAGGCCAGGTTTGCGCAAAACCCATGTGTCCTTTGGGTAATGTGATGTCTGTGTTTGCTTAGCATATAATCCCCTCCTACCAGGGTAAGAGGTCCCTGAAATGGAAATGTAGGAGAGAAAACCTGCCAGGGAGCTTTTGGGACCATGCGAGGCTGAGCCGTGGGGTTTCCTAAGCAGACCGTGGAAGTCATTCCACTTTTATTTGAGAAGACCTCCTCCAAGTCCCGAGGTTTCACAGCGTCTCCTCCTCTCCCTCCGGTCAATACGTCCCACTTTAAGGCCTCTCCCAGTTCTAAGAACAGTTTTGGTGCCCAGGACCAGACCAGGGTAAGGCAAAGTGAGGTGCTCACTTAGGGGCGAAATTTTAAGTAATTCATCAATGGAGAAAACCAGCATTTTAATGAACAACTTTCAGACATCGTGAATGCTGCAGATCCACGATGAGCAAAGCAGCATATTTAAAAATAAACGCAGGATCCGTGCTATTCACTTTTTTGGCTCTGCTTTCTGTAAGAAAGAGGAATGGAGGATCCTGTCATCTTCTACACATTTCCTCCCTGAGCCTCCTACCCCTACCTGACTCCTTCAGGCTGTTCTCATTTGGACAAATAAGTGGCCCTGTTTCTCCCATTTCCTTCCCCACTCTTGAGCCTGTCACTACCCCCAGCCCCCCGCCAGCTCGGTGGCAAGGCGGGCAGTGCAGCAGATGCCTGGGTATTTATAACCTGGAAGCACTTCTTGGGAAAGTGACTAAGGCGCTAGGGGCGTATTTATAGCTAAGTTCTGACGTAAGTGTCAGCGGGGAGGTAGGACTGGGCTAGGCGCAACAGCGAAGGGGGTGGGAAGAACTTGAAATCATGGGCACCTGACAAGGAGGGTGTGGGAAAAGGTGTCGTCAGTGACTCCTACAGCCACTTCTTGCTACTTCCCCTGATTCCTGGCACAAACAGGTAAGCCCTCCTAGGCACCATCAGAGATGGGCACTTAGAGCCTCATGGTCCAGACCCCAGAGGCTCGCAGCCTGTCAGTCACCTGTAGTGACCAGCAGAGAGGAAGCTGAGAGGTATATATAGAGAGAGCAGTAGCCAAAAGTCCTGAGTATGTTTCAGGGCCTGGGGAGAAGCGCAGGTGAATAGCAATGTCTCCCAAACCTTTCTCCCGTCTCCACTTCAAGGCGCCCTGACTTTCTGGGAAGCCCGACCTCTACCATCGGGCTCCATTTGCCAGGTGTCAAAGGTGGCAGGGATGTAGTACTGGGGACTTCCTCTTCTGTCTGGTAGCAGAGAGGCAAAGGAACAGAGGGACCAGCCCCTTTCCATTGCCTGGGAGGGAGAAGAAGAGGCGTTTCTCATCTCTCAAGCTTCCTCAGCTTTGTCCCCAGGATTCTCTGGTGTCCAGGGGCTGCTGTCCAGTGGCAAGGCACTGCCACATGGTGGACACTGGTGGTATTGAGGCTCAGTCAGCAAAGAACATCCCCTTCTCCTGGTTCAGATCTAGAACTCTCCAGCTTTAGCATCACCAGCTAAAGAAGGGGAAGACGGGAGAGTGGGTGGGGGCCCTGAATTGCACTCCTTTTGCTTACAGCTTCCTTACAGATGCCTTCCTGCTTCCTAAAGAAACTAGGACTCAGGGAGAAAGCCACAGTTACCACACTCTTGTATAGATGTAGAGGGTCACTTCCATTTTAGGTCATGCATCTTAGGGCTGACTGCGTAGCTCAATGGTAGGGTACTAGCCTAGCTTGTGCAAAGCCCTGGTTTCAGTCCTCAACACCGGACAAAGGCCAGGTGTGGTGGATGGTTCTTGCCTTTAATCCCAGCACTCAAGGACAGAAGTCGAAGATCACCCTTAGCAACATAAGGAAATGAAGGTCACCCTCAGCTATAGAAGATGTTCATAATCAGCCTGGAATACAAGAGAGTCTGACTCAAACAACAGTAACAGAAAAAGAAAGCAACTCGCCATAGGCTCACTACTAAAGAAACTGAGGCAGGAGGGTCACTTACACCTATGAGTACTAGCCAGTCTGGCCAACAAAGGAACATTTCATCTCAAAAGACAAAAAACAAAACAAAAAAATTAACAACAATAATAAAACAAATCTAAAGGCCTTCAAAAAAAAACCAAAAAGGCGCATGCCTTTAATCCCAGCACTCAGGAGGCAGAGGCAGGCTGATCTCTGTGAGTTCGAGGCCAACCTGGTCTACAAAAGCGAGTTCCAGGACAGCCTCCAAAGCTACAGAGAAACCCTGTCTTGAAAAAACAAACCAGGGCTGGAGAGATGGCTCAGTGGTTAAGAGCGCTGCATGCTCTTCCAAAGGTCCTGAGTTCAATTCCCAGCAACCACATGGTGGCTCACATCCATCTGAAATGAGATCTGATGCCCTCTTCTGGCCTGTAGGCAGACACACAGACAGAATATTGTATAAATAAATAAATATTTAAAAAAACCAAAATAAAACAAAACAAAAACAAAGATGGGCAGTGGTGGTGCACACCTTTAATCCCAACACTTGGGAGGCAGACGCCGGTGGAGCTCTGAGTTTGAAGCCAGCCTGGTCTACAGAGTGAGCTCCAGGACAGCCAAGGCTACAGAGAGAAACGCTTTGTGGGAAGGTGTTAGGGGTTGGGGAGGAGGGGAATGAAGTCAGAGACTGGGGGATGACTCAGAAGGTAAAGCTATTGCCTTCCAAGCATAGCACCTGCATTAGTCTCCAGAGCCCAGGGAGAAATGGGAACACGAGCCAGCAATCTCAGTTGTTGGGGAAGCACAACACAAGGCAATCCCCGAGACTCACTGGCCAGCCAGTCTAATCTAAGGGATGAATTCCAGGCCAATGAGAGACACTGCCTCAAAGGAGGATGGAGTCCCTGAGGTGGCACTCAGGGCTGTCCTCCGGCCTCACACATATACATGCTTAAAGTCAGTGACGAGCGACTGGAAGGTTGGAGGGTGAGCAGCCAAGGCTGCTAAGTATTTCCTGCTTCATCTTTTAAACTTCCATTTCTAACCACCCTGGCACCACCCTTGGGATACCTCAGATTTAGCCAACTCCTATAGTGTCCTAAAGACAAGAGTGGTCCCTGGGCATAGGCTCTGCAAAGGCGCATGCCCTTCTGCCAGCCTCGATGGACTTTGTGCTGCTGTCGGGTTGCATCACTACAACCCCCACCTCTCTGGGTTTCCCCAGACATCACAGAAGCACGACCTCACCCCTAGCTCTGGCCCCTCCCCCAGGTGGACTCTGGGCAGCCAGCACAGGCAGGGTCAAAAGGTAACTTCATTACCCCATGGCACTGCCACCTTGGCCTGAGCAAGAGGACACCATTTTCCTACCACCTATTCCAAATTCTCACCCCTATCCCTTCTGTAAAGCTAGAAATGAACACCAGAATTCTTCTGACCTGGAGACACCCTCCCCCACGAACTAACCATTAGAACCCATGACTGCCTCATAAAACTATTACAGAAGTTGGTGGGCAAGCTGGGAAGACAGGGTGCATTAAAGAGCCGCCCATCCCCACTTGGCTCCCCTGGAGTTACTCCTCTGAGTCCCAGACCTTGGGAACCGAGCGCCGTGAAATCATCCTCTTTCTTGCATCATGCATGGCCACGTTGCACCCCCACCCCGTGCCCCTACCTCAAGTCACCACAGTCAGAGGGCGAAACTTGAACCCCGGAGGAGACTTCCACCCCCTGCAGGGGCCTGATGGGCAGTGCAGCTGGCCAATCCTAAGGCTCAGAGGTTAGGTGTGCAGGCTGACCACTAGGTGAGGGAGCCCAAGCAGTAGGCTCTAAAGAGACCGTGCTCAGTAGTCAGGCATGAACTGTGAGGGTCAAACCCATCAGATGATCTACTCTCAGGCTTCCTGAACCCCGGGCCACCGAGGACAAGTAGCTCTCTCTGCCCTTCCTCAAAAGTAGCTGAGCCATTGCTTGCTCCTGCTCCTGCTCCTGCTCCTGCTGGCTGCGGCTGCTACTGCTGCACCCTCTGGCTCGTTAAACTGCCATCCGAGGCTCTCAGCTCAGGGCCAACTACCTGGGGCATGTGGCTCTCAGATGTCCATCTCTGGCCAGTGCTTCTGTGGGCACTGGCGTGGGTGCAGAGCACAAGATCTGCATGCCCGTCCTGTGGAGGCCCAACCCTGGCACCCCAAGGAGAACGCGCTCTGGTCCTAGAGCTAGCCAAGGAGCAAATTCTGAAGGGGCTGCACCTGACCAGCCGTCCCAGAATAAGTCGCCCTCTGCCCCAGGCTGCACTAACCAGAGCCCTCCGGAGACTGCAGCCCCAGAGCGTGGTTCCTGGCAACCGAGAGGAAGTCATCAGCTTTGCTACCATCGTAGGTGGGTGAGGAGAGAGAGACAGGGAACTGGAAGAAGAAGGAGAACCCCGTAAGGGAGACAGAAGGAATGGGGTGTGGCAGGAGAAGGAGGAGCTGAGGGCAAGTATGGTTGTGAACACTCGGGCAGTCCAGGCTCTTCCCAGAGGTCTGAGTGAGGGACGGTGCTGGGCAGGGTGGCAGGAATGTCAAAGGGAAGCTTTGTCACATTTTTTTTTTAATCGTTTGAGCAGGCAAATCCACATCAGCCTACCGCTCCATGCTCACCTTCCAGCTGTCCCCTCTTTGGTCCCACCACCTGTACCATGCTCGCCTCTGGCTGCATGTGCCTCCGTCTCTCCCTGGCACGCTCCACCTGAGGATCTTCCGATGCGGCACCAGGAGGTGCCGAGGATCCCGCACCTTCCTAGCTGAGCACCAAACGACTTCCTCAGGCTGGCACGCCCTGACTCTGCCCTCTAGTGGCCTGCGGAGTGAGGAATCTGGAGTCGTCAAACTCCAACTGGACTACAGACACCGGGACCCTAACAGCACTGTCTCTGGACTGCCAAGGCGACTCTTGGACACAGAGGGACAGCAACGTCCCTTCTTGGAACTTAAGATCCGAGCTAATGAACCTGGAACAGGCCGGGCCAGGAGGAGGACTCCCACCTGTGAGCCTGAGACCCCCTTATGTTGTAGGCGAGACCACTATGTGGACTTCCAGGAGCTGGGATGGCGAGACTGGATCCTGCAGCCTGAAGGATACCAGCTGAATTACTGCAGCGGGCAGTGCCCGCCCCACCTGGCTGGCAGCCCTGGCATTGCTGCCTCCTTCCATTCTGCTGTCTTTAGCCTCCTCAAAGCCAACAACCCTTGGCCTGCAGGCTCTTCCTGCTGTGTCCCCACTGCCCGAAGACCTCTCTCAATCCTCTACCTCGACCATAACGGTAACGTGGTCAAGACCGATGTGCCAGACATGGTAGTAGAGGCCTGTGGCTGCAGCTAGCAAGAGGACCTAAAGATTCTGAGTGAAGTTCAAGGTTCAAGTCGAGGATTCCCTGGCAAAAGACTCCTGTGTCTGGAAGCGGGAGATTTGCTGACGCATGCAAACATACAACCTGGCAGTGTGACTGGGTTTGACCTCTATGGAACTCAGATTGGCATTTTCTCATCCTAGATTCCGGTCTATTTCAGGCTGTTTCAAATGTAGACAGATGGGGAAACTGCTTCCTTTTTCAGGGGACTGCCTGGCCAGCGCCATTTCCTAAGCGGAGCCCTGTTCCAGGACAGCAAGGGATGTCGTGGGCGGGAAAGAAGAAAATTCCTCAAGTAACCGAGGAAGAAGTAGAGGGCCCAGTAGATTGGGAAAAGGTAGACAAGCCGGCTAATAACAGCGATTATTGCCTGCTTTGAAGCAATGTCAACAGGAAGATGAGCAAGGTGTGGGGTGGGGGGAGGGCCAAAGGGGTAAGAAGGGATGCTGGGCCCAGGAAGTTCCCCTAGCTTTCCCCGGAGGACAAGACCCACATGGAAGACATAATTTATACTTTCTTAATAAAAGTGAGAAAGAAAAGCAACAGTGAGTCGTGATAAGGGGTTGATGGGCAAGACCATAAGAAAGTGTGGTCTGGGGACCTTTGGCAGGTCCCTGAAGCCAGCCCACTCAGAGATTTGAAAAACATTTTTGTAATAATACTAAGATGTCATTTGCTTCTTGCTCTCATTATCTCTACATTGTATGGTGGATGTGGTGGTTTGCACTTATAATTCCAGCACTCAGGAGACTGAGGCAGGAGGATCACCATGAGTTGAAGATCATTAGAATTCAAGACCGTGAATTCTAGGTCAGCCTAAGCTACCGAGATCCTGTCTCAAAGCAAACAAACAATGCAGTGGAGTTTTCCAGAGTATGCTACCTGATAAAGCAACTACATCACTGCCGAGAGATTAGAAGCTTGTCTGTTCTTTCCATTTTTTCCCTTAAAAAAAATTATTTATAGCAGGGTGGTGGTGGTGGCACACTCTTTTAATCCCAGCACTTGGAAGGCAGAGGCAGTCAGATCTCTGTGAGTTCGAGGCCAACCTGATCCACAAAGTGAGTTCCAAGACAGCCAGAGCTACACAGAGAAACCCTGTCTCAGAAAAAAAAAAACCAAAAACTTACTTTTAATTTATGTGTGTGAGTTTTTGCCTGCATATAGTGCAGCACTTCCAAGGCAGTGCCTATAGAGGCCAGGAGAGGGCGCTGGATTCCCTGGAACCAGAGTTAAAGACTGGGAGCTACAATGTGGGTGCTAGAACAGAACTCAGGTCCTCAGAAAGAGAAACAAGTGTTCCTAATAGCTGAGCCATCTCCCCACCTCCCACACATACCTTTTATTGGTGGTGTTTGCTTGTTTTTAAAACAGCCCAAGCTAGCCTGGAGCTCCCAATCCTCCTGCTTCAGCCTCCCAAGTGCTGGGGAATTAAAGGCATAAATCATCATGCCTGGCTATGCATTCTTTTACCATACTTTCTGCTTTTAAATTTTAGCACAGTGCTGACACATGGAAGTCACACATAAGAAGGCATCAGGCATCAATCCTTTCTCTTTCTTTCTTTTTGTTTTTGTTTTTGTTTTTGTTTTTCGAGACAGGGTTTCTCTGTATAACAGCCCTGGCTGTCCTGGAACTAGCTCTTGTAGATCATGATAGTCTCGAACTCACAGAGCTCTGCCTCCCAAGTGCTGGGATTAAAGGAGTGTGCCACCACTGCCAGGCTTTTTTAAAAAAATTTTAAAGAAAAGGTACTGGAAGGTTGGTTCAGTAGTTAAGAGTACCTGCTGGCCCTGATTTCAATTCCCAGTACCCACGTCAGATGGCTCACAGCTGCCTGTGATTCCAGAGGATCGAACACCTATGACCTTCGTGGGTGCCCATGCTCACATACACAAACCCCACAATTAAAAATAAAAAGTTGGACAGCCTCAGCTACAGAGTGAGTTCCAGGCCAGCCAGAACTGTTACATAGAGAAACCCTGTCTCAAGAAACCAATAAACAATTTAATTAATTAGTTAAAAAAGAGCTAAAAAATCTGGAGAGTTGGCCCAGGGCTTAAGACAGCCTGGTGCCCACAGAGGACAAGGTTTGACCCAGCTATCAATAATTCCAGCTCTAGGGCGCCTGGTGCCCTCTTCTGACCTCCACAGGCACCAGGCATGCACACGGCGTACATTTGTGCACGCAGACAAAACACTCATGCACATAAAATCAAACAGATAAACCTAAAATTACCGCAGTTAAAGAGAGGCTGCGGCACAGTCACAGGGGAAGCATCTGCCGCACAAGACAATGTGGTGACATTTTGTTTGTGTTGTAAAAGATGAAGCTTGCCTGAAGATCAGAGTGCAGAGCTACACCACTAGAGGCTAGGCAGTGGTGGCTCACACCTTTAATCCCAGGATTCGGGAGTCCCATGCCTTTAATCCCAGCACTAGGGAGGGAGAGGCAGGAAGGGATATGGCTGGGCAGAGAAAGGAATCTAAGGTGGGAAAAGACGACCTCAGATGCAGTCTGAGGTGCAGTGTGAAGCAGTCAGTAATAGAATGCAGTCTGAGGACAGGATCACTCTTCTGATCTGAGGATTTGGTAGAGGTGAAAGGTCTCTTTAGTGGCTGTCTGCATTGCTTCTCTGATCTTTCAGCTTTCACCCCTAATATCTGACTCCGGATTGTTATCAGGAATAATTAGAATTCGTGTTACCAAACAGAACACGAATAGAATAGAATTTGTCTTGGGTTCCCCAGTACCAGCGTAAAATCCCAGGACAGGGATGTCTGAGACCCCAGTGCTGGAGGGGGGGGGGGACGAGATTATCTGAATTAATGAATTACACACCTTTGGTCCTAGCACTCAGGAGACAGAGGTAGGTGGATCGCTGAGTTTGAGGTCAGCCTGGTCTACAGAATGACATCCAGGACTTCAAGGGCTACACAGAGAAACCCTGTCTCAAAAAAACAAAGAACAAAACAAAACAAAAAAAACAATCCCAAAGAAAGGTGGAGAGCCGATGCCATGACTCTGTGGGGAAAGTCAACTGCTGCCAGGCCTGAGTACCTGGCCAAACCCATGATGGACGGAGAGAACCAACTCCTGCCAGCTGCTGTGCTGGCTTGAATGAGATGCCCCCAAAGGCTCACCTATTTCAACAGTTGGTCCCAGTTGGTAGAACTGTTTCGGAATGATTAGAAAGTGTGTCCTAATACATTTACCTTAACTGTTCTAGTATTAATATAAAAAAAAATCAGGTGTCAAAAATTGAGATAAAAACCTGATAAATCCAAAGAACAGTGAAGGAAAAATTAGCTGACCCCACTCTATGTTTTCCAGATCAAAAAGTCCGAGACCCATACCTCTCTATCTGACTCCCTCAGTCCTCCAATGTGTCTATGGCTAATTCTGGTCAGTCAATCACTGCCTCTTCCCTCTGATTCAACATTTAACTTTATTAGAAGCCTTGGAGTGTCCATGGGAACAAATATCATACAACAGTGTCCTTGCGGAAGGAGATGTGTCTCCGGGGCTTTGAGGTTTCAGAAGTGCATGGCATTGCCTTCCCAGTTGGTTCTCTTTCTCTCTTTGCCTCCTGGTTGTATCTCGAGATGTAAGCTCTCAGTGACCGTTCTGGCATCATGCCTGCCTGCCTGCCTGTTGCCATGCTCCCCGCCAGGATGGTCATGGACGGATTCTCTGAAACTTTAAGCCCCAAATAAACACTTCCTGTTGTGAGTTGCCTTGGTCATGTTATCAGAGTGATAGACGGTAACTAGGAAGGTATCTGAGAGAATTGATTCCTCCAAGTTGTCCCCTGGCCTCCACACACTATGGTACCTGTGGTGGTTTGAATAAGAATGGTTCCCACAGACTCATATATTTGAATGCCTGGTCACCCATGTGGTACTATTTGAAAGGATTGTAAGGACGAAGAGGTGTGGCCTTGCTGGAAGTATGTCACTGGGTTTTCAAAAGCCCATTCCAAGCCCAGCGTCTCTCTGGATCTCCAGAGGATCAGGATGTGGCTCTCAGCAGCTTCCCCAGCACCATTCCCACCACCATGCTCCCTGCCATGATGATAATGGATTAAGCCTCTAAAACTGTAAGCCAGCCCCAGTTAAATGCTTTCTCTCATAGGCGTCACAGCGGTCACAATGTCTCTTCACAGCAGTAGAACAATGACTAAGACAACACTCAGATGTTCCCTGTGCTACAGGCACACAAAATAAATCAAAATGCAAAAATAAGTAAAATTATAAAATAAGGTAGAGGGCTGGAGAGATGGCTCAGAGGTTAAGAGCATTGCCTGCTCTTCCAAAGGTCCTGAGTTCAATTCCCAGCAACCACATGGTGGCTCACAACCATCTGTAATGGGGTCTGGTGCCCTCTTCTGGCCTGCAGGCATACACACAGACAGACTATTGTATACATAATAAATAAATAATTTAAATAAATAAATAAATAAATAGAATAAGGTAGAAAGCTGGACATGGTAGCACATGCTTTTAATTCCAGCACTCAGGAGACTGAGATAGGGAATCTCTCAAGTTCAAGGCCAACCTGGACTACAGAGTGACTTCCAGGACAGCCAGGGCTAAAATGGAGGGATTCCATCTCAAAATCAATCAATCAATCATCAGGGATGGAGCAATGAGGAATTCTGTCTCAAAATCAATCAATCAATCAATCATCAAGGATGGAGCAGTGTTTGAGATCACCGACTCTTCTTCCAAAGGACCTCAGTTCAAGTCCCAGCACCCACATAGCCCCTCGGAGCAGAGGATCTGACTTTCTTGGTCTGAACATCTCAGGCACCAGAAATGCATGAGTAAATACATACATACATACATACCGTATATATACATACATATATGTATATGAATACACGTATGCAGTATACATATATACATACGTATATGCAGTATACTACAAGCAAAACACTCATACACATTAAATAAATAGACATTAAAAGGCTAATACAAAAATTAAATAAATAAAAAAACAAATCTAGGAGAAACTGGGTGTCTTAGGGTTTCTACGGCTGTGTCAAAACACCATGACCATAAAGCAGGCTGGGGAAAAGGGTTTGTTTGGCTTACACTTCCACATCAGTGTTCATCACTGAAGGAAGTCAGGACAGGAACTCAAACAGAGCAAGATCCTGGGGGCAGGAGCTGACGCAGAGGCCATGGAGGAGTGCTGCTTACTGCCTGATTTCTCATGCCTTGTTCAGCCTGCTTTCTTATTGAACCCAGGACCAGCAGCCCAGGGACAGGACCAGCAGCCCAGGGACAGCACCACCCACCACGGACTGGGCCCTCCCCTGTTTTATCACTAATTGAGAAAATCTCTTACAGCTGGATCTCGTGGAGGTATTTCCTCAGCGGAGGCTCCTTCCTCTCTGATGATGCTAGCTTGTGTCAAGTTGACACACAGAAGCAGCCAGGACCCTGGATATGTGTGCTTGTCATCCCAGCACTTAGGAAGGTGAGGCAGAGATGCTAGGAGTCCGAGGTCAGCCTGAGGTACAGAGCTGACCTGACTC